CCTCTATAAACTACATTTTGAAGGGATTCAAAGGAAGTTAGTATGGCTGCTTCAGTTGCTGTACATGCGTTTCCAGCTTGGGGGACCAGCCAGTCATGGACCACCACTAACTGGGATGCCAAATAGTACATTTGAAAATTAGGAAATGCCAGGCCCACCATGGTGCGAGGGAGCTGCAGTACCTCCAGGGCCCCCCTAGGAGTGTGACCCCCCCCACAGGAACCCCGTGCAAATTGAGTCAATTTGACGGAAGTAGCTTTTTGGGACATAGCAAGGGGGTTGTTCTGCAGCCTGGGGGGATTGTGCTGCCTTCCCCTTCATGCCCAGCTTGGACAGTGGAGCAGATTTCCCCTGGGAAGCCCCCTTACTTGAGGATTGAGGAGTCCCCGTCCTCATCGTGGAGCCCGAGGAGGTGCGGAGGGCCGCATGTCCAGCGCCATCTTGCCACTGGAACCGGGCCAATTTTTCGGCCGCGGAGACGTCCCTTTGGTCCCCGATTTTCCCCATCGTAGCTGCCAGGATCCTGAGGGAGAGCGGAAGGTGCCCGGGTGCCGACCGAGTCGCTGGAACCGTCAGGATAGGGTAAGGAAGAGAGTGGGACCGGAGCTGCTGTGATCAGCGTCCGTCCATGCATGCCGCTTGGCCACGCCCCAAATCTGGAGGGTTTAATGTCACTTAAAGGCATGGGAACATCTTATTAAAAATTAATTTAGTCAAGATGAAGATACTGCATATCGTACTGTATATCCTTAGACATACTCCTGTTTGGATTTCACTGTTTTTCCAAACAGCTTGATTCCTCCCGGATTTCCTTTTTTTGGGGACCCTCTAGTCCTAAATTCTGTTTATCCCTTTTGCAGCTACCCTGGCACCATGGTGGCTTGGCATGCCCTGATTTTTATCTTTACTTCCTAGCAGCTTTGCCATGCTCACAATTGACTGAAACTGGACAAATTTAATGCTGCTGTGGTTGTGAAGGCAGCTTGCTTGGGCTCATATGAAGCTCTTGTGCATCTTCATTATAGGGGCAACTCTGCACCTTACAGCCACTGTGCGGGCTACAATCAAAGCCTGGGTAGTTGTGCACAAGAGATCGGGGGCCCCTCTTCCACATATTCTCCTCATGTACCCTTTGTGAAATCCTACTTTACAAAATTTTTACACCATACCAGACCCGGTGTTGTGGGCCTCGCATGGTGTGAAGACTTTGAGTCATAGTGGGAGAACATGGCCTCCTGCTGTTTGACAATTTAAAATGCAAGTTACACCTACCCAATGCCTATTTTTTTTTTAGGTAGTTGCAATTACGGCACACTCATGCTCAGTTTGGTCCTACACCTTTGGCTCTGGTGCCTTCTGGGATGGAGTACTTCTTATGGGATGAGACCCTGCTCAAGCCCTTGTCCTCCATTTATAGAACCCTCCACCCTAATATTCATGATGGACTGGACACTCTTGGGCCAGATAGCTGTTAGATGCTCCAAGTCTTGATTTGGGGGACTGGGAAGATAGCCGTTAGATGCTCCAAGTCTTGATTTGGGGGACTGGGAAGATGTGTGGGATTATACGCTTTTATATATCTAGTTTCCGCTAGAGATAGACTTATCCAATTCAAATTGCTCCACAGAGTTTGAGTCTGACCCTGCAACCCCCACTTAGCATTTTGGAAGTCACTGGTTAACTCCATCTTACCCTTTTATAATGCTACTTACGAATCCAGAGGTCGTGCGCATAACATTTAGAAAGGTCTGGGATTTCTGGTTGTCCTGTCGCCTTACGTTGCTTATACCTTAAGCCTCCAGTGTTGTTAGTATTGTCGATGTCTCTTTTTTCTGCAACCGTCGCCTTCTGTTTCATGAGATGTTCCCTCTGGCACAGTGCCACACACACCTTCTCTTAAATAGTGTTCACTTTGGGCTGCACGATTACCAAATATCCTAGTTGCATTTGGGGTGTTTTGGGGATTGGGCAGGCTAACTTACTGCCTTTATGGTTTTTGTTTGCGTTTCATGGTTGTTATGCTCCATTTGTCCAAATTACTTGTATTTGGTTTTTTTTTAGCCGGGGATGTGCCCAATAGGGCCCCGTTTCATATGGTTATAAAAAAACACTAAAAATCAAGAAAATTTAAAAAAAAAAGAAACAGATCAAAGGCAGCAAGATCCTTGGAGACCAGCCTTTGTAATGCTGCATTAAAAATAGGAGTTGGTTAAGACAGTACAGAATTGGACTGCATCAGTAATGATTTAGGTGTGTCTTTCTTAGGAGGTGTACACTTATGCAGTTAGTGTTTTTTTTTTTACATTTGTGATCTTAATTGTTTATGGTTATGTTGTTTTGCAGAGATCTGCTTGCACTTTGATATTAATGAGTACATTTCTGTTAATCACCGTAAAAAAAATTAAATCCACTATGATTTAATCTATGACAAAATATAAAAATGTCCAAAGTGGAATAACACTTTTACATAGGCACTATAAAATGGACATCATATAGTGAAGAAAACCATGATGTACAAGGTAATTTAGTAATTACCTTTAATTGTAATGAAACAACATCACAGACCCACCAGAAGGGAAAATAAAAGCAGTTAAAGTACAGTGATGCTTGCAGCTGTAGACTGGAAACAATATCAACCTCTGTAACGAGAAAGAAAAGTCAATGAGCTGTAACATAAATAACACGCATAAAGTCTTACGTTAAAAATGATCTATAGTTTAGAACAAACGCTAAAACAGTGTTGTCCCAGGTTTCGAAGCTTTGAGGGCTGATACAATACAAATTAATGGATCTCTTAAAACTGACATCCAGAATAATTTGTTCTCTAAGCTTTCTCTGCTTTAAAGCAACCTTGCCAGTGTGTAAATAATAAAAAGAAAAAAAAAACAAACACAAAATAAAATCTAATTGGCAACTCTCTGCTGAAGAGGTATTAAACTCCTCTCTCTGGTGGCCCTTGCCTCCTACCTTCACTCCATTCCCTGAATATCTTGGAATAGCCTAGAACTCAATCCAACTGATAACCTGTGGCATGACTAAGTATGCTGTACACCAATGTAACCCTTCTAACGTGAAGAACCTGAATCAGTTTTGCCTTGAAAACTGGGCAAAAATTTCAGCAGACAGGTGTGCCAAGCTTATGGAGAGACATACCCCCAGAGACTTGCAGATATAATTGCAATAAAAATGGTGGCTGTACAAAGTATTGACTATTGGGAGGCAAATACTTATGCACACACAGGGTGCATTCACAGCAAAATCAGAAGGAAATGGCAATTCAATGGAGGGTCTGTTGACTTGCAATTGTACCTTTCAACTGCTTTCCGATCCTTTGCAATACGAACCTATGCTAAAGGAAGGGCACCAAAAAATGAATGGGGCTAGTTCACACCGGATCTGTTGCGCTGAAAAAAAAAAAAAAAAAAAAAAAAAGAAGAAGTAGTGCATGTTTTGTTTTTTCCCCCAGTGCAACATAATGGAATGGCGCAGTGGGAACTAACCCCATTCACACCCAGTAATATTTTGGTGCCCTTCCATTAGAATCTGTTGAAAGTATCGCAACGGATCCACTGTGAATGGGCCCTCAAGGTCTGGTTTTTTTTGGTGACTTTATTGTTTGTGTTGCCTAATAATAATTTTATTGCATCTCCAAAAGTGGTAGGCATGTTGTATGCATCACATGGTATAAATTTTAATTCCAGGTTGTAAAATAAAAAACAGGAAAAACACCTTTAGGTAGCAGTGTTCATCTGCAATGCCCCCAAAACAATATTTTTTAAAATATTTTGGCTTACCAGTCCTTAGCTGAATGGGCTGCATTAGTTTTCTTTTTGGTACTTGTTTAGAGTGCCATAGAGAAGCCTTTAGTTGTACTTTTTCAAATTTTCCATATTCTCGGGACATTCCCATGTCAGCACATCCGGGATTTACATTAGCAATAAACAAGGACAGAAGATAGGGTGATGCTACAGAAATATTTAATTTAGGCTGGGTTCACCCATGAGCGTATTTTTTCAGGTCGTTTTTTTGCACGTTTTTCCGTTAAGCGAAACGCGCGTTTCACTGGCGGTATGATTTTTTGGGTTTTTTTTATTTATTTTCTCTATTTAAAAAAATAAAAAATATTCACTTTCAAACTTCCTGCCGGCTCCGCCCCCTGCAAACGCGGCCGCTCGCAAGGGACGGAACCCGGAAGTCAGCAGCCGCCAGGACACAGCAGGGATTGCGGACAAGGTAAGACCTGTACGCTTATTCCCGAGTGTGGCTCGGGGTTACCGCTTTGTTAACCCCGATCCACACTCGGAAATACTAATGGAAACACGCCCCAAAGAAGCTCCTGTACTTTCTTGGGCGTAGGGCGTTTTTCATCGCGTTCCTACGCGCAGTATAACGCCCAGGTGGGAACCATGCCCATAGGCAATTATTGGTTTTCACATGTTGAGCGTTTTACAGCGCTTAGAAACGCACTGTAAAACGCCCAGGTGTGAACCAGGCCTTACTGTACACGATAAACCATGGAAGACCTAACCGATCCACCAAAGTGTGCCCCTGCAGAAGCAACCACATCCACTTTGTAATGAGATGAATGTAGACAAAAAGACCAACTCGCCACTCTACAGATAACTCTTTCCGTAACTCCTGAAAGAGAAGCCCAAGAAGTTGCTGCACCCCTCGTTGAATGTGTGGTAAAAATGTTCAGCAGGAGGTATCGTAGATCAAGAACATTCCAAAACGTTAAGTAGAATTGAACTCTCCTTTTTTTTGCGTATATCTACTGCTAGCAAGCAGTAGATATATGCAAAAAAAAAATAAAAAAACAAATTACTAAAAAGGCATGCTCCCGGCTGTAGATCTGAAGCTTCTCACACAGACACAGTTAATCAATCTCATGTGCTACAACATACATAAATTAACCTTACAAGCATTAAGGTTATTTTCCAACTTTTTATGAGGGCGTAAGTAGAGATATGGACGGAGGTAAGCCGGTGGATGTGGTATATCCCACACACCTTACAACCAACGCAAGACTTTTGTCTTGCAATGGTTATAAGGTACTTAAAAAACGTATGAACTGCCCATCTTGGACAGGCAGATCGTACTGGCGATCATCGCAAGCCCGCCCCCTTGAGGGGCAGGCTTCCGATGACTGCAATGCTGAATGGGCAGTGTGCGTTTGCACACACCGGCCCCTGCAGCATTTGTCTTACGAGCAGGCCACAAATCCGCCGACAATCGTATGATTCTCGGCGGGTTTTCGAGCCTGCTAGGGAGACAAAAGCCGTGCGACCGTACAGTAGAAACGGCCGCACGTCTTCCATACACCTGCCGATTATCGCACGATAATCGCCAGGTGTATGGGCACCTCAAGAGATACACAAACATAGCAACACAAACATAGCAACCCAGCTAACAAGCTCTCATCCTGGACTGGGAAAGTGCTGCACACTCTGCGTTGCCAGAGTAATCAGTAAAGACCCCACCACCTGTGAGGCAGACACACCCAGGCAGCTACAATCAATGGATCAACTCCACCTGTGAGCAAACTGAGGATTTAGGCCCCGTTCACATTGAGCGATTTATCGCGCGATTTTTGTAGCGATATCGCTCATATTTCCGCACTATATCGCTCTATGTATCTTCACCAATACAATTCAATGTAGCTGTTCACATCTCGTCGCTCAATATCGCTTGTAGCTCGTCGTTGGTAGCTTGTCGCTTCTACATGACCCTTTTTTAGAGCGATTTTGAGCGATATTGCTCCTGATTGCATACAGCCCAATAGGAAGATGTCGCTCAAAGTCGCGCGATTTGCATGTCGCTCAGTGTGAATGGGGTCTGAAAGAAAAAATAACTCCACCTGAAAAGGTTAGATGCTTGCTATCATACAGAGAGACAAGATTTAAAACACACACACACAACCACATATAGAGAGTAAAGTGTCAACTAAAATCTTTAATAGGTAATACATATCTTCCCAGCTCAGATGTCTTCAACCTCCTCTAGCAATTCCCATACCCTGGGACTTTGCATCTTCATGCTCCCATCTCTAAAACAGGCAAGTGAAAAGTAAGTGCAGTTCACTTAATCAGGGCTGAAAGTGCTCTACCCTGCCCCCACTCAGGTGAAAGCAATCATAGCATTCCAGCTTAGGAGCTCACAACCAGCTCAGACCAGGTAGGAAATCCTAGTTGCTACCAGCAACAGAACCTCCCCTTAGCCTTGCGGGACACCCTGCTAGTGTAATTACAAGTCCAACTTCTGCACATGTTAATGAGTGTATATTAACCAGCCCGTCTGCAGCACAATGCAAAGTATCAGCAGCAGAGCCTGTCAAAAAAATAATGCAGGCCCATGTTAAAATATTACACCAAGCTATTGTCTCTCTTACTATCTCCCTTGAACTAAAGTAGAGTGCACAAAACTGGAGCAATACCCCTCCAGTACTTCTGCCCACTCCCACGTTTTTTGGCAAAAAGAGTAGAGCTGCAGCGAACAATTATTTTCAAAATCGATTAGTTAGCCGATTATTGAGTTCGATTAAATCGGTTAAAAAATAAAATAAAATACATTTTAAAAAATGGCTCCAGGGATGGGACTACTAGTTTGTATTGAGATTGTAGTCCATCACAGGAGCAAGCTTGGAGCGGTCGAAGTAAATAAGAAAAAAAAAGTGTGATGTGCAATATAGTGAAATGAAAAGTGTAAAATTATATAGCAATGAATGCAGAATGGCACCGGCTATAGAGGACTACAAATCCCAGCAATAGTACATTATACAGCACAAAACAGAATACCACCAGCTACAGAGGAGTACAACAAATCCCAGCAATAAATATATTATACCGCGCAATGCAGAATACCACTAGCTATATAGGAATACAACAAATGCCAGCAATACATTATAGTTGGTGGTATTTTGCATTGCTGTATAATGTATTACTGGGTTTTGTAGTCCTCTATAGCTAGTGGTATTCGGCATTGCACCACTGTATAATTTATTATTACTGGGATTTGTAGTCCTCTATACAGCGCAATGCAGAATAACACCAGCTATAGAGGGATACAACAAATCTCAGCAATAGTACATTAAACATACAGTGTATAATGTACTATTGCTGGGATTTGTATTCCTATGTATAATATACAGCACAATGTACCATCAGCTATAGAGGAATACAAATCCCAGCAATACATTATAGAGCACCATGTAGGGGGGGGGGAGTGCAGGCTTGCCTGAGCAGTCTTCCAGCAACTTGCTTCTGAGATAGGGCCTGTCTATCGGCGATTGTCATTCCCCCACACCTGCTCCTCCTTACTTCTTCTCTCCGCATCCGTGCCGATCGTGGATGTGGGAGGGCGGTGAGCGTGAGGCGGTGCAGCGTGTGGATGCGGGCGGGTCTGGAAGCGGTGAGCGTGAGGTGGGGAGGAGGTGCGGCACGCAGCGTGTTTGGAGCCGTAAACAGGGCCAACTAACCAGAAGCCGATTAATCGATGATTGAAAAAGTTGACAACTTTTTCAATCATCGATTAGTTGTTGCAGCCCTATTAAAATGTACAGCAATTGTTACAAGACCTGGGTTTGTCTTGTTTGTACAGATAGGCAGCTGCCTATGGCCCAAAAAGCTTGATGCAAGTACAAAAAAAACCCCATCCTAGGCTGATAACTCTTTATAAATCTCTGCAACAAAACAGAGGTTGCCAAAGAGTGTGAAATTGGAGAAACAAACTCCTGCACCCCACAAATCTATTCCATGTAGGAAGGAGTAATTAGGTTGCTCAATTGTCTGGGGTTGCTGCTTTGCAGATTAAAAACCTGTCTGTGCTGCAGCCCTTGCCTCCAATCAGCCATGCACTGGTGGAAATAACACATACCAATCCTGTGTTAGCAAGAGGCACTGCAACCCCAGCAACCAACACCCAGAAGGAGGATCACCTCCCAGGAGTCCCTGCCACCGTGCCCTAATTAGGATAACCACAGAAAGGTTCATCCTAGAACAAGCCCAGGCATGCACCCTTCCAGGTCCACTGTCCCTGATTCACAGGGGAGCATACACTGGGAGACCCCTACATAGCAACCTTCTATGAAGAAAAAAAAAACACCAACCCAAAAGTTACAATGTTCCTGTTAGGCTGGAGGAAACACAAACTGAGGTGGTTAGGCGGCACCGCCACTTTTATTTTAATTGTGGATTATGTGTTCCCTGTTTTAGGTGGGTGGGTACTTTCTCCTGTGCTGCCCTGGAATGGGAGGAGAAAATGTGTCCAGTGGCCCCCAAGTGAATGGAGCTTGAGACCCCTGCCCTAGATGAAAACGAGCAGTTACCCCTTGCAGTGCGGGGGGAACCCTAATGCAAGGGTTAATATTTTCCCTGGGAGTTCTTCTTTAACACAAGAAATACCGTTAGATACACCTTTGTAAGTAGCCTTTCAAAAACATGTCAGCTTACCCAATTCTCTTAATACAAATTTTCCATCCCCAGGCAAAGTTTACAGCAGAACTCCAGCCAAAAACAACAAGATAAAAATCAATAGTCCAATAAAAGATAAAATAGAAAAGCAGCTTTTGTTGCATTCACTTTCAGTCCAGAGCCCTACCCCACAGTATTTGTATTCTACCACAATTTGATGTCCACCATCATTCAACCAAGTATTCTGACTATCCTGGACCTGCCCCAGCCTGTAACTAAACAGGGAAAACAAAAGAAGAAGCACAGTGATGAGCATTCTCTCCATCCCCTTACCTTCTCCTCCAATCAGCATGATTCTCAGTCAGAACTGATTGACATTTTCTGCTACTGCTTACTCCTATAATCAAGCCATGCTGCACAGGGGCTGCAAAAGGCAGCTACCAGGTCAAATTCCAGTACTTACACTTTAAAACATACATCCATTGATGTATTGATTAGATAGCTGCATTAACTTGGGTCTATTAGATTTGCCTAGAGTTCTGCTTTAAACCCCCATCTCCATTCACTGGGCTTTTTTCAAATAAAATACCTTGGCAAAGCTCTTTTTTTACTCACAGGTGGAAAAAAAAAAAAAGGACAGATTTAGTAAATAGGGCTTTGAATTTTTTACGACACCAGTGATTAACCACTTCCTGCCCGGCTGTTGTAATAAAATTAAATAATGCGGGTGGGTGTTTTAAAACGCCCTTTCCCCACGTTTCTGCTCACTGATACGCATGCGCAAAGAGTGGAAAAAACTGACTGATTAAACAGCTGGCGATGGCTGTTTAAAGGAGAACTATGAGGTGAATGAAACTCACACGTCAGCTCAATAGATCAGGAAGTGAGCGAACATATACCGTCGCTCGCTCACTTCTCGATCATCTCCCTGCAGAGAGCCGTGATTGTCACTCACAGCTCCCTGCAGAGATTCCCCCCTCCCCTGTCCGATCCTCCAGCGTTGATTGATGGAACTGAAGGGGGCAGGTACAGCTGGCTCTGCCTCTAGATAGGCAGAGCCTCACCAATCACTTGTATGTTGAGTGCAAGTCTGCTCCCCCCTCTGCCGCCTATACCGGGCTCCGCTGTCCCCCGTGCATCCCCAGGACGGGCACAACGGCTCAGGTCCTGCCGCTCATCTCCCCTCCGATCTCTAAATGTGGAAGTGAGGTGTATTAAATCACTTCCGCCTTCAGCTGTCATTTCTCCGGCTTCTGTAGCCATAGAAGAAGCTGGTGAGGCAGATCTCTGCTTCACCAGCTTCTTTGGGGTCCCTAGGCTACATTAGGGGACTTAGAGACCCCTAATGTCTCTATAAAGAGGACCTGTCACAATATATGTACTATCACATAGGGGGCTTCTTAGCTCCCTACGTGATAGCAATAAAGTTAAGTGTAAACTAAAAAATTAAAATCACATTGAAAAGAAAAAAAAATGTTTTAAAGACCCCCACATACATACAAGCATATGTCGGATAAACATATATGCAAAAACGACGATTGTGCCGCACATGTCACCATGAATGTCGGAGCGTGCGTAATAATTCTAGGGCCATCACTCACTGTTAACACTAAATTGATTGAAAAGCCTTTAACCACCTGCTGTCCGGCAGTTGTAATTAAACGGCCGGACAGCGGCTTCTTGAGAGCGGGTGGGCGTCTTTAGACGTCTCATCCCATCCCGTTCGTGCCCGCCGCTCGGTGGTGGGCACGAACGGGAAATCAGCTTTGTATGTAAGCAGCCAGCGATGGCTGTTTACATACAAGCGTTCAGGCGTCTGTAGAGACGCCCGATCGCTTGTAATTGCGTGCAGGTGTGCGCCCTCCGCTGCTGGCGATCCCGGGCTCCGCTGCTCCCGGTGTTAGCCCAGGACCAGCACAGCAGCTCTGTGGCCGGAGATCAAACAGAGCTCAGTACACGACCTCCGTTTGATCTCCCCCTCCTCTTCGGAATGCAGGCAGTGATGTGTATTACATCACTGCCTGCATTCAGTGTCACTCTCCGGTACAGAAACCGGAGAGAAGCTGGTGAAGCAGGTCTATGCTTCATCAGCTTCTCTGGGGGTCCCTAGGTGATATTAGGGGTCTTAAAGACCCTTGATGTACCATCAGGTATGATGATGGAATGGAGTGCAGGGAAGGAGAGGACGGGTATGATGGTGGAATTCATTTCACTTTGAGTATAAATATATTTGTACACTAGCCATTTTTTATTTATTATTTTAATGGATGCATATACTGCAGCTTTCTTCATCCGAACACTAAGATTTACTCACGTAGTTATAATGATTGGAGACCCTCTCATTCAGGAATTAGTCCGAAAAGGACCTGTTAAAAGACACGGGGAAAATGTATCCAAACTAGGACAGAATCTACAGCACATACCCTGTTTCCCCGAAAATAAGACCTACCCCGAAAAAAAGACCTAGTGTGTTTTTTTGAGCCCCAAAAAATATAAGACAGTGTCTTATTTTCGGGGAAACACGGTAGGTAACCAGGTTCTCTCTTCAGTTTGTTCAGTTAAGGTTTAAAAATAAGAATATTGAAATAGTTGCCATGAGCAACTGCTCCAGATTCAGTCAACTCCAGTTTTGATAAGTTCCCCCTCTAGTTTTTCATTCGGAATGACAATACGCTCTGCAGCACTGAAAGAAATCAATTACACAGAGCAACGATCAACTCCCCGTTCCTCACCATACACCTCTGACAGATGACCCTTATCTGACACGGTCCTCCTCACATCCATTAATATATTGCGTGTCGCGGAATTCAGCTGACGCCTAACCGGGCCGGGGAGCGCCATCCAGAACGACGGAACATATAGATCCATACACGCATCACCATGGAAATCGACGCGGTAGCCATGCGCACGCACGGCTTTCCATTTAGCAGGGAAGTGACGTTTAAAGTAAAAAAAAGAGGGCGGTACTTGCTTTCAAGTTTACTAAATGCGTTTTAACGCGCTGTAGGTGAATGTAAGCAAAGACAAAAAAGGGGCGCAAAATAAAACAGGTATTAAGAGCTAGGACGCATAATATTTGGCTGGAAATGAAACTAGCAGTCGCAATTCATCAGTCACGTGATTAAAGAAAGTGATGGATGGTGTAGATCAGAAGGAGTTCTGTCGAAAACTCCAATTCCGCGAGCTCTCTAAGCCGTTACTTCCGGTTAACTTGCTAGTAAGAGGTTACTTACTTACTTAGGCTGTACTGCGCGTGCGCAACTCGAGGCATCTGCCTAGTGCTCATCATTTCCCAAAGCTCTTCACTGCGACTGCATGGCTTCAGAAGCCTTCTCGAGTTCTCCAATTCTCTTCACTGCGCCTGCGGGGGAGGACGCAGAACAAAGGTGCTGTTGGAACGCACTACCCGGAAAATGCGGTTGAAACGCACAACCCGGAAAAGAATTACATTTGCAGGAAGTACTGGTTGCGCTCCTTTCTTGGGAGAGTATACAGTGGAGACGCGAGGGAAGTTGCTGGAGGTAAATAAATAGAATTATGAAAATGTTGTTTGTAAGTTCATGTTCTCCATTTCAAATGAGCTATCGTCTGTCCTCTAGTGAACATATGGTTTTAAAAGAGATAGCAGGTAATCTTTATTTAGTTTATGGGTTGGAGAAACAAACTGTAACCAGTGTGCTCCGGGTGAGGGGGAATAGAACCAAGACAAGCAGAAGTACTAACTTCTTAAAGCGACCATGTTGCATAAAATGTCCCTGCCCCCAAATGCGTGTCTGCAGAAAAAGATTGTAAATAATTCAAGTCTTGCTGCCCACATCACTAAACACTACTCTGTTCAAGTACAATCGTCCCCTGGTAGTGGTGGGCAAACTCTGGCCCTCCAGCTGTGGTGGAACTACAAATCCCATGTGATATTGCAAGATTCTCACAGTCCCTACTCTCACGCATGATGGAATTTGTAGTTTCACCTACAGCTGGAGGGCAGGAATTTGCCTACTCCTGCACTATACTAATGTTGAGGTTGCAGGGGACACAGATGATTGGCACTTCCAACTAGTTGGTTTCTCATCCGAGTTTAGGGGATGAATAATCTTCAGCAGAGTGGTATTGGGTGGTGTGAGCAGCAGGTTTAGTAAATATTTCCATTCATCTTTTGCAGTCACACCTTTTTGCTCAGTTTCATTTGTCTGATGGTGAGACTATAATTTTGCTGCATGGCCAATATTTTCCTTTTTCACAAACATGTAAAATCTGCTTTTCATTATTTTTTGATCTTAAAATGTTATTTGTTTTCTGAAAGCATTGGACCGTTTGGACAAATAGATGGTAGAAGCAATTTTGTAGGGCTGCAGCTAACTATTATTTTCATAATTGATTAGTTAGCCGATTATTAAGTTCGATTAATCGGATAAAAAAAAAAAAAAGGCTCCAGTGATGGACTACTAGATTGTATTTAGATTGATAATTCAGTGAGGAAAAAAAAGGTAAAAAAAATAATGGAAATTAAAGAAAAATAAAAGTTATAAAAAAAGTAAAAAATAATAAAATATATAAAAATAAAAAAAAAGTGACAAAGTAAAAAAAATAAAATAAAACCAACTCCACTGCCCCTGCCATCTGCATACAAATAAACACACGCATAGGAAATTGTGTGTGTGTGTGTTGAGTCCTGCTGCCATTTCACTGTGTGCCATATTGTGGTACCTGGGCAGCAGAACTCTCACACACACAATGTGCATTAAAGGGTAAGTTCACTTTCCCAGATAATACGGGAAAATGGAATTACCCGATCAAATCTGGCCCGGTCTCTTCTACCCGCCCCCCACCACCTGCCAGCTATACTTAACTTTCTGCAAACAGTCCTTACCCTCCGCCAGTACAGGTGTCCTTACACCTTATTGTCCAGCGCATTCCAGCCCTATGCATTTTGAATTTTGCTCGCAAATTGCAAGCACTCATTGATCAGCGTGGTCGGGTGATTGGCCGGGAAGCCAGCTCCTTGCTGATTGGCCGCCAATCAGCATCGAGCCATCTTCCCAGCCAATCAGGCCATTACTCTCCGCCAGGTTTCCTTGATTGGCTATCAAGCTGGCTCGATGATGATTGGCCGGGAAACCGGCTTCCCAGCCATTCACAATCAAGCCGGCTAAACAACATGGAGTTGGCTTTCCTGGCAGTCAGGAAGCCGGGTAGCATCTCATTACCTGCTGCCCGGCTTCCTGATTGCCCGGGAAGCCTGCTCCATGCCAACGGAAGCACCGATACTCAGTGAGTACTGAAAGCAAAATATTGGTACTCGTACTCGATACCCAAAAACTGGTATTGGTGCATCCCTAGTTTTAAACTTTTAAAACTTTTTTTTTTTTT